TTCTATTCGCCGTTATAACTCATTTTCATCTCATCATTTAATTTCTGTTGTGCATATATTGTTGAATAGAAGATATTTTAAAGTGATTCATCAGGTGGAAAACGAATAGATAGATAGGTAAACCGATATGTGGCGCCATCTTGTGTACCTACATTCATCTACAAATGTTCATTAAAGTGCCCGAAAAACGGGACTAACTCGGTAACCCGTGGCCCGATTTTAACGAAACTTGTTTTATTCTGTTTCTATTCTCATTTCATTACAAATATGGTGCTATTGTGCGCCGTTTTTGCTGTATTCAATTACAGATAAGCAAACAAACAATCTCAGAGTTTTAGTAGTATATAGATTATTTCAAGTTTTTAAGCTACTTGTTAAGACAGTCCTTTCTAGGGTCTTGAAAATGCTTAAATAAATATCAATAAAAGTTTTTTTTTTAACTTACTGAAGACGTTTGTTTGTAATATAGCACAAAACTACACAAATGGCTATCTATGCTCTGCCCACAACGGGTATCGAAACCCGGATTATAGCGTTGTAAGTCCACAGACATACCGCTGGGCCACTGGAGGGCAAGCTAGAAAGAGTGCAAGCCCCTATATTTTGTTTATTGTAAATAATTTGTTTCAAGTTTAGAAATCATAGACATCTTACAAATAGTCCCATTATGTATAGTGAAAATGTAGGAAGTCGAATTCAGAAAATATGGCCTCTAGTTTCCCTCCAGCACGACCGGTTCCTAACCATATTATTTTCTAACATAAACTATCATAGCCTAACATCTATTAATATTTATTACATCTTACTGTTTTCAATTTCCTGGTTGTAAAGGATGGCGAAAGCACTCCTCTCACTTTTTTCCAACGTGATCCTTTAAGAGAGTTCAGTGCATGTGACAGAGTATTATTTGATGTACGCCTTGAAAATATAAATCCCTGTAAAAAAAAAAAAATGTAATAATGATTATACTCATCATTGTTCAGTTTTTGCTAAATCAAAATAACATACCTCATCAACAGGCAGAGGCGTTGCTAGGCGCTGGCACACGGGGCTCTGGCCCCGATTCTACTTGACAATGCACCGAATCCCCCAATTGGTGTCTCAAAAAATCAGAATCGGAAACCATATTGAAACGCCAAAAATTTCCACGCCCGAGCCCAGATTCTTTTTAAGCACATAGCGACACCTCTGTCTCTTCAACTTCAATCGAAAACATAAAAATTAGTGTAATTTGATATCCGTAAATTGAACTAAATTAGGTATCCATATAACACTCGTGTATCAAAATTGTGGCAAAGATATGCTAAACGACGATTTTCACTTGTTCCTCCCCCCTCACACACACACACATATATATATGGTTTAGCGATAAAAGTGAGGACGCATAACGCTAAAATTGGAGTTCAATGATGTAATTAATGGGTATAGCGCCTACAAACCATTTCTGTTAGACATAGTTAGGCCTATTAGCGAATGTTGGTTAAGTTAATGGTCGGAGGTGAAGAAATAATCGTTAAATGAAACTGATTTCCCACTATTAACTTAAAGGGATGATGTGAAAGTGTCCGCCCTACAACAGAAAATATTGCAACACTGATGTCGGGATTATTTTGGTGGAATGGAATCGGATCGAGATTCTACTACAAGATGACGACATTTAAAATTTAAGGGAAATGACAAAACAGTAGAAGGAGGAGAATGTTCGAGCAAGTTGAATCTACCCAAACAAATGCAGTCTAAGACACCAATAACTATGCAGTATGAAACTCTTCTAGTCTACACCTTCTACCAGAACTGTAACTACAGGACCTTCCTAGACTTACACTAATTACGGAGTTTAGCAGACAAGCCGCTAATCTAAGACACCAATAACTATGCAGTATGAAACT